CAGTGATAGTCGAACCCATTGCGCTGCCATCCGACGTCCTTAGCCGGCATAACATCTATTGTTCAGTACCAGTGCTACGCATCCATCCTTCTCAGGCCTGCGCTGCTGACACGCCGCTGACGGTGCAAGCACCATGCTATGCCCTCTGCCTCCCACGGAGGACGCCCCTGTTGTTGGTCCCTGCGCACAAGATAGTCAACTCAAGCCCGAAGCTACCACCTTCCCGACATCTGGGCCCCTTCGAAGTTGCCACCGCATAAGTTCTTCAACATATATTTGGTTTGACTCACCATCCCCCAGGATACCATCCATATCACCACCGCAACCCATTTATAAGTCATATGACCAATTCACGTGCATTGTCAACAGTGGAATGTTCTGTAGGTCGTACGCGTCCTTCGTTATGTGGTATCTATGGTCGCTCATAAGTCTTGCCAGCTGCTGCACAATGCCACCGCTCAACGCCCCCCCTCCACCAAGATGACCTCCGTCTCTTCAGCTGCCTTGTATCCTCTCGGGCATGCGTGAATCCGAGTGCATGGGCTACAACATAGCTACAGCGGAAGTTTGATTGTGTGAAAAGGGTGCATAGAATAGGGACGAAGAGCATGGCATTGTATTTAATTGCATTCCGGGTGCAACTCTCCTTGTATCGCATCATCCTTTGTTTCACGATACATGTTCGAAGGTTCACTCTTGAGCATTGCCGGCCTACAACAGGTGACGGTGCACCATCAAACTATTCTAGGACGATGTCTCCCACCAGGGAATGCAGTTGTCTATTGGGGAGAGCCTCTGGTGGTGTAAGATACAAGGGGAGGTTTCTGACAATGTACATCGCACGAAATATATTACATACTTGAGCGTAGGGTTGTAATTTCCTGGTGTGTCGGTTGTTAAAATGGGCTATGGAGGGTGTCATACGCAAAGGTCAAATGATCACCGCCTGGTGGAGTAAATTCTCCGGTAGTCGATGAGATGAGTGCAGGCAATCAGCGATGGAGAGAATGTAAACTCGATAAGTCATAGAACGATGAGAACATGGGCTTGGCTTTTGATGACAAGGAATGGGAAAGAAGGCTGGACCTCACCTGATCCTCGAAAACAGTAACTTTCTTCATATTTGACCAGGACCTCAAGGGAATGCTTGTAGAAGGCATTATGCATGGGTGAAGACGTGACGCAAAAGGTGCCGGAGCGCATTGGATCCCAGAGGAAATCGTGAAATGACTTGTGGTAGAAGTAGATGGAACCTCCGAGTTTGCGATATACATGGTTCCTTAGCCCCTTGATGGCGGCTGGGTTTGTATGTTGGAACGGACGATTAGTATCACCAAACTGTGTGGAGTCGAAGGTGTCGCTATGGTCGCGGATGTGGAGCACGGCACTCAGGTGGTTGCAAACCGCCCGGAATTCGATTTCGGATAGTCCCAGCTCATTGCTGTATAGTATTACACCATTCTGATCTCCACCAGCATATGCATCATCACTACACAAGAGCCTACACAAGAGGAGAACAGTGGGAAGCGCTTTAGGGGGAATACGCCACATGATCACCATGTAAAAAGCATCGAGTCTTGCTAAGGGCCAGGCTCCGAACACAAGAATTCCAACAACCGGCACACGTTCGACTCTTGTGGTATGCATATATCTGATGGTCGACGTTATGCGCTACACTATATCGCATCACCGACTGGTATACTGATCCACATTCTAGTCAATGGAATTGCGACTGGCATCAGACGGAGAGACGAAAAAGACAGGCCAACAGAATGAAAACAAGCCCACCGCTACCACCCCGTAGCCGCTGTATCCGTCACCCCTGATATCCCAGCTTCAGCTCCGTATTTGCACCTGATACTGGCTGTGACTCCCAACTAAACCTCGAAACAGGACCCACCGCCACCGAAACCTGAATATTGGCATCACAGCCTCTTCATCTCTACCCAGTGTCGTCTTCCACCATTCTGAACCTCTCCCTCCTATCCCTTCGGGTTCTCCAAATGACACAGAATTCTTCGACTCTGGCGGTAGTACCCACCGTAACACTAGTCCCGCTACCCCACCAAACCAACCAAGTTTGCACATAGACCGTCGCCACTCACGTCAGTCGGGAGGAATAAGAGTATTAAGAAGGATTTTGGTTGGCGCCGCGCCATCTTGTGGTCGAGTGGAGAAAGTCTTGGTAATGGTAACAATAGTGGAAGGGATAGTGATCCCGGGAGTCTGCCGGCGAGGTGGAAGCTTTACTCTTACCAGGGGATAATTGTTATCGTTACTGGCTATTACACCCTGATTGTTGAGTCGTATTTATGAGACAGGAAGGGATACGGGGTGTGACTTAACTAGCGGAGCTGTAAATGCCAAAGAGCCAGAACCGGAATCACAGGAGGGGAAAAAGTTGGATCACAAGCGGATATGGAAGATTCTTCATGGATGAATATTATTGTCCAACTATTGTTGGATCACTCTCGAGGTTGAGGCCGAGTGATGCGATGGTTATTTCGTTTCCCGTACAAGATAGTCAATTCCATTGTATCGAGTCTATCTGGATAATCCGTGCCTTGTAACCTATCGTCGGCCAAAGGACCACCAACGCCCCTCATTAGATAGTGGTCTTTACTGCGCCCTGGCGTGCTCTCAAAGCGCTGCTGGTCCTCCCTGACTCATTCAAGGTTGACATGACCACCTAGTAGGTATGACACGATAAATAGATTAGTCCGACCGGCACTCCCGGATGACCATTGTGAGCTTTGAGCGTACGCGTAAAACCAGAGAT